AGGAAGTGGTGCAAAGGGGAAGCCACCTCCTGCAGCAGCAGCTCAAACTAATCAGGATTGTGTCTCCTTAAACGTTATTTTTAAGCCATTCCACCACTGCAGACCAGGATCAGGGCTGGGAAACTGCTCCTTGTTTCTGACAGACTGGGATTTAGAACAGGAAGGATTTTGTTCAAGGCTGGAAGTTTTCAGTGTGACTGGTTTTGAAATACTTGAAAGAGGTAATGTTTATTTAATGGGGAAAAGAGAAGCACAGTTGTCATTGCTTGTGATGCAGCTGTCTCTTTCCATTTACAGAATATCACTAAAATTCAGGCAAAAAATGCAGAGCAGGAACAGAACAAGAATTTATGAGGCAGTTGTGCAGTCAGAGTTTCAAAAATGAAATCAGATAAAGAAGGATGCAGGGGAAATAAAACACAGCTGAGCCATGGGAAGATTTGAAACTGAAAATAAGCTCCCTTTGGTGTACTTTTCTGAGGAGAAATTGCATAACTGGAGACAAAGAGAGACAGCTTTGGGGAAAGTGTTGGATTGCATCTCAGAGGGGGTATCCCTGTGTTCCAAAGGCCATGGCTGAGTCCCAGCTGTAGGAGAACAACAAGGATCTGAGTTCAGAAAGGCATCCCTTCACTGCAATGCTTTTTTTGAGTCACCTGGCTGGTTTTGAGACATCTGCCTGAATAATTTTCTTCTTTTTCAAGGGAACAGAGAGCCATAGACCTGTACAAGCAATTAAAAGCACGACCTCCAGGTATGGCAGGAGATGATTTAAATTTCACACTTTTACCCCATGATTAATTGTTGTGAACTGAAACCCAGGAAATGCTGTTAGGGTTTACTAACATGGTGTTTGCTGGCCCTTCCAGATCATGCGTACAGTGACAGCACAGACATGGTGAAGATCATTGTGCAGACAGTGCAGAGCCAGGACCGAGTCCTCAAGGAGCTCTTTGGCCACCTCAGGTACTTTATGCAGACAAAAAAATCCAATTTGCAGCGTTTGGAGCTTTGTAGTAGGAAAGGATAGGGGAAACCATGGAGGTCAGAGCCCAAAAAGCTCCATTCACATTTTTCATAGCATTAATTCTGCTCCTCTGTGATGAGTTTCCACATAATTTTTAAAAACATGACTGTTAGCATCCAAGAGTTCACTTTAAAATGAAGCAAATTCTTCTGTCAGTTGGAATTTGGAATTCAAATCTTCAAAGGAAAAAAAAAATTTAAAAATTCTTCAAAATTCAAAGGAAAAAAATTACTTCAAAGGAAAAGAGTAGCAGTTGAGAAGATACCACAGTGACTTGTATATTAATTTTTCAAGTATCCCAATTTTCCATTTTTCTTGAATCCCTTTAAGGTGGGGCTTTTGGTTTTGCCAGAATGTGCTGGGAAGTGACTTGGTGTTTGGTTTTTATTCCAGCAAGCTCTTGGGCTGCAAGCAGAAGATCATTGACCTGCTCCCTGAGATTGAAGTGGCTCTGAATAACATCAAGGAAGCTGACAACTCAGTGATGCAGATGCAGGGAAAGAGGCAAAGGGAGATCTGGCATTTGCTGAAAATTGCTTGTGTGAGTAGCTGTTGGGTTATTTGCACTTTTTCCAGTGCATGAGCCAGGAAGTAAACTCAGCAAGAAGGGGTAACTGCCACACCATGGTTGTATTTTGTTTTTCCTGCAGAGAAGGGCAGTCTGGGGTGGTGAAAGCAGAAGTTAAATAGGTGTTTTCCTGGTTGAAGTGTTAAAGAGTAATTTTTTTGCATTAATTACAGTGCCTGAAGCCATCTCCTGGTTCCCACATCTGTGTGTGTGTAACCAACAGTGCTCATGTGCAATCCCAAATCTTCCCTAGGTAGCATTGAAGCCTCAATTCTCCTGAATTTCTTTTTGCAGACTCAGAGCTCCTCTCGATCCCTGGTCAGCTCTAGCCTGGAAGGGACAGCTTCAACTCCAGCAGCCACTTGGCTGCCCCAGGGCTGCTCAGGGAACTCAGCTCCTCACCCTCTGTCCTCTCTGGCAGCTCCTGAAGATGGGTATGTGCTGTATTTGTGGGGTGCCTGTGGCAGGGAGGAATGAGGAATGTGACTCCATGCTCTCAGAAGGATAATTGATTATTTTATGATAGTGTATTATATTAAAGAATACAGAAAAGATACTTACAGAAGGCTAAAAAGACACAGCTTGGCCCTGATTGGCCAATAAACCAAAACAATTCACATGAAACCAATGAAACAATCTCCAAACACATTCCACATGTGAGCACAACACAGGAGAAGCAAATGAAATAAGAATTTATTTTCCTTTTTCTCTGAGGCTTCTCAGCTTTCCAGGAGAAAAATCGTGGGCAAAGGGATTTTATCAGAGAATGTGAATGTGACAGGTATGAGCTGCAGGGAGCTCAGTATCTCAGGGCTTTATCCTTCCCAGAGCAGTTCCAGGAGTTTGAGTGTCACTAATGCTCTAAAGAATCAGGGATTTGGTTGAACTCTTTATTCAGAAATCTCTGCTCTCTGTTTCTGAGCCGGTTCCAGGTGCTGCATGCCCTGCTGAAGGACTGTGCCATCCATTTATGGCATGAAATGTTGTTTTTCCTTGAGGCTGGATCTGGCTCTTAAGGCCCCTCTCCCTCAGTCCATGCTGAGCTCTCTGGAGCTTAGGGGGTTTTTCTCTTTGCTTCATTAACAATTCAAATTATATTTTATCAGTGTGAAGCCATTCCCCTTTGTCCTGCCACCTCCAGGCAGGTTTTTGTTTCACCTACCACTGCACAAACTACATAAAATTAATTGCACAAACTACCATAAAATTAAGCTGCAAATCACTTTTTTGAGCTGTTTGCTTTTGTTTTTCTTTTTATTTTTTTCTCTCCCCTCAGTGCAGCCCCTTTTGATGGGGATGTCACTTTTGGTGCTGCTTTTGTAATCCATCACCTTGGGGCTTTTTTTTCTCCTTCCTGCAGGGAGAATTTTGCTGACATGATCCGGGAGAATGTGAATTACCTGGAGCTCTTCAGCAGCATTCTGCAGGAGGTGAGGCAGGAGCAGAACAGCATGATGGTAAGTGTTGGTGCATCTGCCAGGACCTTCCCCCCCCTTCAGGGGACACCCTGGGGACATGGAGAACTCCTTGAATAGGAAAAAGGTGCTCCAAGCCCCAGCCAGCCTGGCCTTGGACACTTCAGGGATTCAGGGGCAGCCACAGCTGCTCTGGGCACCCCATGCCAGTGTGCATGGATCCATGTTTATTCCCAAAATCCCACCTCGCCCTGCCCTCTGGCAGTGGGAAGCCATTCCCTGTGTTCTGGCACCCCAGGCCCTTGGAAACAGTCTCTCTCCATGTTTCCTGTGGCCCCTTCAGGCTCTGCAAGGCCACAGTGAGGTCACTCTGAAGCTTCTCCTCTCCAGGTGAACAATCCCAGCTCCCCCAGCCTTTCCTCAGAGGAGAGAGGAGGCACTCATCCTTTGGGAAATCCCAAACTGGAGTGGACTCACAGGGCTCTGCACGGTGTTAACCCCTGGGAGCATCCTTGCTAAAGGCAATTTCTGATTTTTCATCAAACCCAGCAGCCAGACCCTGCCCTCAGTTGTTTTTGTGCTTTTCTTTGCAGAGTTTTGACTGGAGCTGGCTGAAGTAGCCCCAGGAGCCGAGGTGCTGCATCACCCAAGTGCCTTCTGTGTGCTGAGGGCCGCCTTCTCTGTGGGACGGTGTTTATTGACATCACCGTGTCACCCACCGGCTGTCCCCCAGGAAGCAGCGTGGGCCCGGCCCGTGGAGCCTCCTCAGGGCGGGGGGCGCGGGCAGGGCCGTGTTCCCCATGAATGTATAGCGCGTGTGTATATAATAAACTCTGTGCTGACACCCACCCAGGCTCTGAGGCCTGCTCGCTGCCGCGCCGCCATTTCCGGCACGCCGTTGCCTGGCAACCCGGGGGTGGGGTAACGTCATCGCCCTGCGCCGACGTGGCGCGCCCATGGTGCCGCGCGCCGGCGCGCGTGCGCGGCGGGGGTGGGAGCGCGGCCTCGGCAGCACGTGGGGAACGGGACTGGGAACGGGATAAGGGATCGGGATAAAGGTATGGGATAAAGGAACGGGACAGGGATTGGGATAACGGGACAGGTACGGGACTGGGAACGGGATAAAAGAATGGGATCGGGGTAAAGGAACGGGACAGGGATCGGGATAAAGGAACGGGACAGGGAACGGGGTTAGGCTAAAGGGACGGGATTGGGGCAGGGATCGGGATAAAGAAACGGGACAGGGAACGGGATAAAGGTATGGGATAAAGGAACGGGACAGGGAACGCAATTAAGGAACGGGATTGGGATTGGAGTAAAGGAAAGGAATCGGGGTAAAGGAACAGGATTGGGATAAAGGAATGGGACAGGTACGGGACAGGGATTGGGATAAAGGACTGGAATAAAGGAACGGGACAGGGATTGGGATAAAGAAACGGGGCAGGGATTAGGATAAACGATAGGGACAGGTGCAGGACAGGGATTGCGATGAAGGCCAGGGAGAGCTGCGAGACAGGTAGGGGGCAAGAATTGTGCTAAAGAATAGAGCCTGAGATACGGATTGGAATAGCTGTGGAGTAAGGACAGCTACGGGACAGGACGGGGTAGGGCTGGGGGCAGGTACGGGGTAGGGATAGGGGCGGGACAGGGGAGCACGGGGCCGGGCCGGGGGCAGTCCCTGTCCCTGTCCCGCCTGTGGCAGCAGCGGGTGTGTCCCGCTGACGGTGTTGCCGTGCAGGGCCCTGTCCGTGTCCGGTGTGTGTGTAACGGGTGTGTGTCCGTTGTTGCCGTGCAGGGCCCTGTCCGTGTCCGGTGTGTGTGTAACCGGTGTGTGTCCGTTGTTGCCGTGCAGGGCCCTGTCCCTGTCCGGTGTGTGTGTAACGGGTGTGTGTCCGTTGTTGCCGTGCAGGGCTCTGTCCGTGTCCGTGTCCGTGTCCGGTGTGTGTGTAACCGGTGTGTTTCCGTTGTTGCCGTGCAGGGCCGGGCCCGCGGCGCCCCCGGGCCGGGAGGGGATGCGAGCATGGCCATGGCCCAGGCCGGGGCCGCGGCCGCCGCCGCCACCGGGCTCCTGGTCTTCCTGCTCTACTCCGCCATCCACAGGGTCGAGGAGGGACACCTGGCCGTGTACTACAGGTACGGAGCCCCTCCTGGGCTGGCATCCATCCCTGGCATCCGTCCCTGGCACCCATCCCTGCCCCTGGCACTGCTCTGTCCTCTGCTCCCCTCCGGTTTCCCCCTGCGTGGGCAGCCCTGGCTGCTCCTGCTCCCTTCACCCTTGGGTCTCTGAGCTGCTTCTCCTGCCTCTCATTCCCCCTTGTCACAAACTGATTGCAGAGCTCTGGGTCTGTCCTGCCTGCTGGCATCTGCTGATTTCCCCCTGTGCCAGCAAGGGCCGTCACCTTTGTCCCAAACTGTCACCCAGCAAGAGCCGTCACCTTTGTCCCAAACTGTCACCCGGGCCAGAGCTCTCAGTGTTGGTGCCTTGGAATGTTTTCCTTGCCCTTCCCACTCAGCACGCAAAAAAATTAGAAAGTAAAAATGTTCTTTATGGAATAAAGCACAATAAATTCTGGAAAGACCCTTTATCGGATTGCTTTATCTGTAAAGACCTAGAGACTGTGCCGCCTGAGGAAAAAAATGAGTACAGAGGTTGCAGTTTTATTGTTAGCTTGTGTAGAACTGTATTTTACTTAGACAAATTTCAACTTTGTGCAGTGAGGGGGAACTGAACAAAAGCAGCCAATTTAATGTGCACACTCACAGCATCCATAGAGGAGAAGAGGAAAAACTGAGGGCTAAAGGAAAGAGCACTTTGCAAAATGTGCAGCACCTGGGGGGACTGCACAGTTCCTGGGGAGGGGGTGACACCTCTACCTGCTTTTGCTTCAAAGAGTTGACCAGGACTGCTAAGAGACCCCAAATGTCCCCCAGTTCCCTTTAACCACAATCCTGCTGGACATTAACACCCCAGAGGGGTTTTCTCTGTGCTCTGGGCGAGGGGCTATGCCAAACCCCAAACTGGCAGCATCACATCCACGGCTGGATTTTCCATGGTTACCAGCGAACTATTTAGAGGAGAAATCCGTGTTCTTGCAGCTCTGTGCAGTGTTGAAGTGCTGGGAGGGTTTAGCAGGAGCTGCCTGCTCCAAGAGTTAAAGCTTCATGCAAAGCTGCAGGAGGCAGATCTCGGGTGCACCCAGCCCTTTGCTGGGGAATTGCTGGCGAATCCAGGGCACTGATGCAACCCTCTGTGACCCCTGGCAGTTTGAGCTGGCCCTCCAAGGCAGCCCTTGCTGTTTGCCCCCTTCCTTCCTGAGGCTGTTTTCCTCCCTCTCCTCAGGGGTGGAGCGTTGCTGACCAGCCCCAGCGGCCCTGGCTACCACATCATGCTCCCCTTCATCACCACCTTCAAATCCGTGCAGGTCAGTGCCCTCTCCCTCCCCTGGGGAGCCAGGACTTGTCCTCCTGGAAGCTCTCCCCACCCACCATGTGTGTGTGTGTGTGTGGCACTGCTGGGGCTGGCAGTGTCCTGCTCAGGGGGACAGTCCGTGTTTGTGGCTGTCACTGTTTCCTGGCATTCCGGAGCAGGGAAACAGGCACAGCTACCTGTGCATCTCCCAAAAGGCAGGGGAGGAGAAGCTTTGCCTTCTGCCCACACCTGGAGCCATCACCTGAGAGGCACAGGACACAATTTTGGCTCTGTGGTGCCACTGTGGGAGTGTGGGCCTCTCTGGGAGCCAGGTTTGTGAGCGCTGCTGTGTTTGTGTTGCAGACCACGCTGCAGACTGATGAAGTGAAGAATGTGCCTTGTGGGACAAGGTATGGCTTCCACTTGGATTTCTCCTAGATGCACTCCCTGGGGTCATTTGCAGGGCTGGGACATTGGGATTTGGAAGTAAAAGCACCTGCCATAAAATTAATCCCAAATGTACACAGTGTAACAGAACAGGAGGGAACACTGGCTCTTGCTGGAGCTGCTGTTCAGCTGCTGGATGTTTGCATTTATTGTGATGTTATCTTGAATTTTTATGGGCTTCTCCCCTCAGTTACTCTGACACCCTGTTACTTGTGCAATGAGGGATATTTGCATTTGTTGTGATGTTATCTTGAATTTTTCTGGTTACTCTGACACCCCATTGCTTGTGCAGTGAGGGATGTTTGCATTTATTGTGATGTTATCTTGAATTTTTCTGGGCTTCTCCCCTCAGTTATTCTGACACCCCATTGCTTGTGCTTTGGTGTGCCCTGGTTATTTCCACTCTGGGTCTTGTGGCTGATACAGGTGCTGGCCCCAGCAATGGGCAGAAGGAAGCTGGGAGTGGGAATCCTCCTGATGGGAGGGAGTTCATTTCCAGATGAAATTCCTGCTGCATAATCAGGCTGATTCTTCTGTCAGCTGCTTGAGTTGTAACAAGCAGGAGGAGAGGGCTGGTTACAGATCCTGTTGGGTTACAGGTCTGAGTTGGGTCACAGATCCTGTTGTGTTGGTTCATCCACAAGTTAAAGTGATGACTCTTCAGGATAAAAAAAAAAAACAACTGGTGATTGTCCTTGTCTTACACATTCAGGGTCCTCAACAAAATTTCTGTTTAAAAAATTAAATCGGTGGTGGCTGGAGTGGTGGCACACAGTGACCACATGGAAGTTAAAAGGTGAATGTTAGTGGTAGTGTTAATAAAACAGAGTTAATTTTGATCAGGTTTAACCAATATTAACTTTCTTGGAGTTGTTCAGCATCAGACATCGCTGGGACTTCAATATTACCATAAAGGTCTTGTGGTTTTAATTTTAGATCCTAAAGGAGTATCTGAAGGTTTTTCAGGAGTATCTGTAAATAATGTTAGTGTTCAGTGCTGCAGCTTTCACAGAATCACAGAATGGTTTGGGTGGGAAGGGACCTTAAAGCCCATCCAGTGCCACCCCTGCCATGGGCAGGGACACCTTCCACTGTCCCAGGCTGCTCCAAGCCTGGCCTTGGGCACTGCCAGGGATCCAGGGGCAGCCACAGCTGTGCCAGGGCCTGTCCACCCTCACAACCAAGAATTTCTTCCATTTATCTCACCTAAATTTCCCTTCTGGCAGTCTCAACCCATTTCCCTTGCCCTGTCACTTCAGGGCCTTGTCTTTTTCCACCTTTTTTTGTGGTGAGATAAACAAGATCAAAATGTCAAAGGTTGAGGCCAAAGCCAGCCTCAACCATTCTGTGCTTCTGTGATTTAGGAGCTGGAAATGAAGCTCCTGTTGAATTTCAGCGTTGTGGGGTTCAGTTGTGCAATGCAGGTTGGGAAGGTGCAGGCAGTAAAAATGGGCTTTACAGCAGCAGACAGCTGGTGAAAGCAGCTCTCAGTTAATGATTGAATTCACCCTGACCAAAGGTCCCAGCAGCCCTGGCCACTGCCCAGGTGGTGCTGCAGGAGCCTTTCAGTGGCTGCATTTGGGATCCAAAGTCTGTGGCTGCTCGGTGCCCAAGCTTTGCATCCACATTTCCATGGTAAAACATGAGCTTATAAATAACAACTGGAGCACACCTGCACTGCCACTGTCCCAGTTCAAAGTCTGCTACCAGAATAGAGCCCAAACAATTTCAGGTTTTGTGTTTACATATCAAACCACCACATTTTAAGGGCTGGGTTTCTCTTTATGTTCCTGTTCCTTGTGTCCTTATCTATATCTGGAAGCTTCTGAGTGTCTGTGTGGGTGTCCCATCCCCAGTTTTTTGTCTTGTTTGTACCTGGCAGCATTCAGTGAACACATTAAATGGAGATTTTAAACCCTGAGCTGGATCCTGAATTGTGTGAGGATTTCCAGAGTCTTCCTGCTACCTGTGTCCATCTCCTGTGGCATGACCAGCAGGACTGATAAAATGCCCTTATCCCTCAGCACACCACATAAACACTTATGAATTATTGATAATAATGGAGTAACAGTGGGTAATATCCCATTTACTGTCCCAGCCTGGCTGAGCCCCTCAGCAGGGTTGCTGTGGGAGGTGGTGGCAGGGTCAGGCAGCCCTCACAGCTCTGAGGTGCCATTTCAAACCCTTCCCTGCCAGGGAGGTGATGCAGACACTCTCCTTTTCTTTCTGACATCCCTTTAAAATCAAAATGCTGCATTTGCAGCAGATCAGGGCCATCCATCACCAGTGTTTTTAGCTCATAGCTGTCCTGAAGCAGGTCTGGAGCAAGAACAGGCTGGGCTTGGGAGGCCTTTTCCAAAAGAACACAGACACAGGCAAGTTCAGGTTGTTTTTTATTTCCTGCAGAGCTGGCTTTGAGCTGCCAGAGATCAAGATCTGCAGAATAAGAAAAGGAGTTTGTTGTGGGGGATCTGTTTGAGTTAAAACATCCCAGAGGCTGAGTTTGGGAATGTGGGAGTTGCACTGCCAGGAATGAGCTGTCTCTAAACAGTTCCTGCTGAAGCTTCTGCTCTGTGATGTGCCTTTGTCCCAAGGACATCATGGCAGGAGAATTCTGGTTTAAAATTAGGCTCCCAAGAGACTTAGAGCTGCTAAAAGTTAAGGGGTTTTTTTATTCCCTGTAGAGTTTGTGCTTTTCTCTGGTGTTACAGGTACCCAGGGGTGGGCATGGCTTTCTGAAAGCCACAGCAAGAGCAGAGGCTGGGGACAAGCCCGGCCTCTGATTCCCCCTTTTACTGCCATCCTTTTTTGGGGAGAGGATTGCCTGCAGGCTGCCTCTGCTGAGGTTCTTGTGGTGTTCCTGGAGAGCTCCAGTGGATTGAAGTCTTCCATGTGCTTTGTTCCTTCCTTTCTCCTGGGCCTTGCCAAGCTCCTGCTGCAGTTAGTGATTGTGGATTAAACTCAGGGCTTTTTCTGTTTGCCATGTGTTGCTGCCCAGAAGAGCTGAGGTGTGTCTGCATTTGGTGGCAGGTGTCACCTGCTGTCCTTGCTGCCTTCCCTTCTGCTTTCCTGAGAGCTGCAGCCACGTTCCTGATCAGAAAAGCTTTCCTTTGGCTGGTTGAGTAGGAAATCAGAAATGGGAAGGAGGGTGCTTTGCAGGTTTGCTGAATTGATGCAGAGAGAAGTCTGGGATTGGCTGTTATCTCATTGCAAAATGCCCAGAATATTGTAAAATAGGGATAAAGATGCTTTTGCTTTAAATCTGTTAGAAGAGGGATGAAGATGCCTTTGCTTTAAATCTGTTAAAATAGAGATAAAGATGCCTTTGTTTTAAATCTGTTGGCTGTTAGCAGCTGCAGTGTGGCTGATGAGTCTCTTTCCCTTGCAGTGGTGGTGTTATGATCTACATTGACCGAATAGAAGTTGTGAACAAGCTGGCCCCATATGCAGGTATTTGGTATTTCCATCCTGGCTCCTGTGGCTGTGTTCACTCATCCTGGGGCAGCTCTGGCTTGGTTTGCAGGACTTGCCTTTTCCATGCCAGCAGAACTTCCCTGTCTGTTTCCATTTGCTGTTACCCTTACGGCTCCTGGTCCTGTAGTGTTGGTCCCAGGTGCTTCCAGCTCAGCTCAGAGAAAATTGCAGAGCCAAAACCCTTGTAGGAGCCTCTTGCCCTTTTATTTCACCACCCCAAAGACACAGACAGCTTGTTTTGTTCAGCAGCACAGCTTAATGCAAAACTCCAGCATTGCTGAGGCGCTGGAGGGTGAATTCCTGGTGTAATTCAGAGTCATGGAGGGGTTTGGGCTGAAAGGGACCTTAAAGCTCTGCCCATCCCAACCCCTGCTATGGCAGGGACACCTTCCACTGTCCCAGGCTGCTCCAAGCCCTGTCCAGTCTGACCTTGGACACTGCCAGGGATCCAGGGGCAGCCACAGCTGCTCTGGGCACCCTGTGTCAGGACCTGCCCACCCTCACAACCAAGAATTTATTCCATTTATCTCACCTGAATTTCCCCTCTGTCAGTCTGACCCCATTTCGCTGTGTCCTGGCACTCCAGTTCCTATTGCAGATTCCCTCTCCAGCTCCCCTGTGTCCCTTCAGGCCCTGGAAGGAGCTGTGAGGTCTCCACACACCCTTCCCTTCTCCAGGCTGAGCATTCCCAGCTCTCCCAGCCTGGATCCACAGGGGAGCTGCTCCAGATCCCTCAGCAACTCCATGGCCTCCTCTGCACCTGCTCCAACACTTCCAATGTCGTCTCATGTGCTGGGGGACAGGCCAGAACTGTGCCCAGGGTTCCAGGTGGGGCCTCAGCAGGAGCAGAGGGAGAGAATCCCCTCCCTTGGCCTGCTGGCTCCTTTTGGTGCAGGATCTGCTTGGCTTAAATAATGGGAGTTATCCTTGTTTTCCCTTTCCAGCAGTACCTGTGCATGCAGGTCCTGGTGAGGCTTTGCTATTCCCTTTGTTTATGCAGATGGTAAAACAGGACCAGGCAGTACATCCTGCCATGGCTGCTCCTTGAGGCTGTGTAATCCCAGCAGCACCTGACAGCAGGGCAGAGCAGGGCAGCTGGGGCTTTGGCTACCCTGGAAAAGCCCTGTCCCAGTGCTGCACTGCTTCCCTGACACCCTGGCAGGTGCCAGGGGTGAGCTCTGGTGTTCTCTCCCTTCCCCAGTGTACGACATCGTCAGGAATTACACCGCTGACTACGACAAGACCTTGATCTTCAACAAAATCCACCACGAGCTGAACCAGTTCTGCAGTGCCCACACCCTGCAGGAGGTGTACATTGAGCTCTTTGGTGAGTGCATCCTCTGGAATATTCCTGGAATATCTTCCAGCCAGCCCCTTGGACCCCACTGGCCCTGTGCTGGAGTTGCAGTGTAGATCCAGCTCCTTTTACATCCATCTGCCTCTTCCCCTGTAACTTCAGTGACTCAGGTGTCTCTGTCTTTCCCCATCTGCATGTGGGAATTTGATTTGAGTCTTTTCCCACCTTTTTTTCTGCATGCACAAAGCAGCCACTCTGCTCTTGTGTGTGCAGTGATGCCTGTGGCCTTCACTGTGACAGTGGATTTGTCTTGTTCTGCTTCTGGTTTTAATCCCCTGCTGAATTCTGTTGTTGAATTCACCTTTGTACTTTCACAGCTTCCTCCTGGCTGTCTCCAACAAGTGAGGGCTGGAAGGTTTTTCACAGGGAGGTAGCAATGCTTCAGGAATTAGCACAGGGCATTCTCTCCTTGGTGGACCTGTGCCCCAAACGCAAAGACAGAACAGGTTCTGTTCCTTCCTGAGTGGCTGAGCAGGGCAAAATTGCCTTATGGCAGATAAAAGGTTGTCAGAATTTTAATATTAATGTACTCCCAAGTCCAGGTGCTGAGAAGGGATAGACTTCTACCACAGGCTCTGAGCATTCTGTCTTGCTGAGATGCTGAAAGCCACTTGCACTTAGTTCAGATAACACAAATCCATCAACAGCTGAACTTTTCTAATCACCAGCACCTGAGTCTCCTTTTGGGAATGTTTTTCAGGGGGCACAGGAAGGGAAACAATGTACAGCATGTCTCAGGAAGCATCCTTATCTCACACTCTAGAGTTACCTGCTCTTCAGGGCCTGCTGGCTCTTTGCCACACAAGCTGTGGGGGAAAACATGATAAACCAACTGCTCTGTCTTTTGTCCTCCAAACACAGATCAGATAGATGAGAACTTGAAGTTGGCCCTGCAGAAAGACCTCAATGTCATGGCACCAGGTCTCACCATCCAGGTAGGTTGTGGCCTCTCAATAATGAGAGATTTTAAAAGGTGGAGAAAGACTTTTTGCCAAAGCTTGCAGTGACAGGACAAGGGACAGCAAGTTTTAAACTGAAAGATGAATGTTTTATGCTAAGAGAGGTGAGGCCCTGGCGCAGGGTGCCCAGAGAAGCTGCCCCTGGATCCCTGGAAGTGTCCAAGGCCAGCTTGGATGGGGCTTGGGGCCTCTGTCCCTGGTGGGAGTGTGGGATGGGATGGATGAGAAGAAATGGAAATGTGGGACACCTCTGGGAGAGTGACCATGCTCAGCTGTGTTCCCAGGAAGATTAGGCACAACTGTCCACAGCACTGCAGCTGGTTTTGCAAAGAGATATCTTGATTACTGATGCTGCATCCAAGTGTTTCATTCAGAGTGTGCTCCCTTTCTCTGCTCCCACAGGCCGTGCGTGTCACAAAACCCAAAATTCCAGAGGCCATCCGGAGGAACTTCGAGCTGATGTGAGTAGCTGGGCATAAAATTGCATTAATTACTTCTGGGGGTCCTGCACAGGCACAGTGCTGCTGGAAAGCTCTTCCTAGGGAGTGAGAGGTGAGCTCCAGGCAGTGCACTTGTGCCTTCTGTTTTCCATTTCCATGCTGAAATCAGGGCTCGGGGGTTTGATATCTTGCCTGTACGCTCCCCTGCAGGATCCCTGGGATGCCTTTGGGCAGAAGGAGATGCTGTTAGGTCTCAACCTTTGGTTGAGCAAGCCCAGCTCCCAGCCCACATTGCCCTGTTCCTCATCCTGAAGGCCTCAGGCTGGACTTACATCCAGATGTGGCCAGATGGAGAGGGGGATGGTCCCTCACCTGGCCTGTGTGTGTGCTCATACAGCTGCAGACAGAGCAGTCCCCGTGGCTGTGAGCAGGGAGCTGGCAGCTGGCTGGCCCCTTGTCCCCAGGGCCTCTCCTGGGATGCAGAGCTGCTCTGTCAGCAATTGGAGGGATGGGGTAGGCATTGACATGGTCAAAGAATCCAAATTTATTGTGATTTACAACTGCTTATATACTTATTCTAGGAAGGTTTGTAATATTTTGCTGCAGTGATTGTGTTAGTCGTCACGTAAACAAACTTACACATTTTAAACATCTCTTGCTTGCAGAAGTCAAAGTAAATTTCTTTTTCTGGTAAACCAGTCTGAAATTGAATCTTCTTGCAATCTTGATTTAATTCTCAAAGTTCTGTTTGCTCTTGCCAAGGCATTTTGTTTATCACATCTCTTATGCTAATAAGGTCCAAAGTACTCCCAGTTTTGTGTACCCCAGTACTGCTCCTCATTCCCTTTCCCCAGGGTAACACTTCTCCCCTTGCAGGGAGGCTGAGAAGACCAAGCTGCTGATTGCAGCCCAGAGGCAGAAGGTGGTGGAGAAGGAGGCAGAGACAGACAGGAAGAAAGCACTCATTGGTAATGTCACCAGCCCAGGCTCAGCCTCCATTCCTGCCCTCCCTGCTCAGCTGGGGCAGGACATTGTCTTCCTCACTGGCAACTCCATGAGGGAGGCTCAGCCAGGCTGCACAAGCAGCTGTTGGAACATCTGGATGAAAATCCCACAGCAGCAGAGCAGGGAGCACCTCTGTCCTGCAGCAGGCATGGAGGGAATCACTCTGCTGGAAAAGCTGCTTGGGCTTGGAGCTCCATGTCCCTGTGCTTGTAAACAGGATCTGAGCTCTGCAGACACCAGAAAACACAACACAATTGTTTTCTTCCTGTAAAGAAAGGAAGAAAACTCTGCTGCTTGGAGCACAGCCTGGCACTGAGTGGGGAGGAGGCAGCAGGGAAGTGTGGCAGAGCCTGCAGCCAGGTGCTGGGGTGAGGCTGCTGGGGCTCAAGGCCTGAGGAGCAGATTTCCCAGCTGGGCCCTTTGTGATTGCAGAGGCAGAGAAGGCTGCTCAGGTGGCCAGGATCCACTACCAGCAGAAGATCATGGAGAAGGAAACGGAGAAGCGAATTTCTGAGATTGAGGGTGAGCGCACTGCTGGGGCTGTGGCAGGTGGAGGAGCCTCAGACCTGCAGAAGCCATTGAGGGTGCAGGGCTGTGCACTGGGATGGTTCCTGCCCCGTGCATGGAGCTCTCCAGGAAGGCTGCAGGGCACATGCAAGGCCAGCCAGGCTGTCACAGGCTCTCAGCTGGTCCCCGTGGGGTGAGGGCTCAGGTGCTCAGTGTGATATGGGGCCCTTCACTTCCTAATGCTTTCTTTCCTGCTGTGTCAGATGCTGCATTCCTGGCAAGGGAGAAGGCCAAAGCTGATGCTGAGTACTACACTGCTCGGAAGCTGGCTGACTCCAACAAGGTGAGCTCTGGGGAGCTGCTCACTCACTCTGGGCAGCACTGGGAAAACACTTGATCTGACAGCTCACCCCCCATGAGGGATCTCTAGCTGAGATCCCTGTTGGGGTCTCTAGCTGGTCACAGTGACCCTGAGGAAAGTTGGAAAGTCTCTTTTCCCAGCCCGGCGCTCGAAGATAGAGTCAGGGCTCTTCATTTCTCAGTCTCAAGGTTGTTTATTGAATCTTATCTGTAAAATTCTTTCTCCTGTCCTGCTGAGTTCTGCTCAGCACAACAGTCCAGGCACTCTGCCTGCCCTCAGGGCAGTGTTAGCTTTTTTATACTAAAAACTACATGTACAGTATTTACAATTACTTCACAATACCTATCACCTATATTAGACTGTGAGCTTCTACTCTAAACCAATCTAAAAGTGCCAACATCACAGCAGAAGATGGAGGCCAAGAAGAAGAAGAAGAAGAAAGGCTGGACACACCCAGATCCCTCCATCTTGCCCCCTGAACCTTCATTCTAAAAACCCCAAAATCTACTTTTTCACCCCATGATAAATTCACTGTCATTCTACTTTATTTGTTATGGCTTGCAGATCTTCATCTAAGGTTGGGAACTTGCACCACAGGTCATAATCAAAACCACACAGGCATTTTTGGGCTCTGTGAGACCCCTGGCAGGGCTCTTGGCTGCTCAGGACAGCCAGAGGGATGTCCTGTGTCCTGACAACACCCCATGAGGGGCTGCCTGACATGAAACCTAGCACCACAGGGCACAGCAAGTTGTCTCTTAGGGTCTCTGGTGTCTGTGTGTTGCAGCTGAAGCTGACCCCTGAGTACCTGGAGCTGATGAAGTACCAGGCCATCGCTGCCAACAGCAAGCTGTACTTTGGCGACCGCATCCCCGGCGTGTTCCTGGACTCCTGTGCCTTCCAGCAGGCCAGCCTGAGGACTGCCCAGCAAAGCAGCCTTCCTGCACAGGAAAGCCCAGAGAGCCCTGGAGAAAGCCCCCTGAGAGGCGAGGAGAGCAGTGGCTGAGGGGGCACGGGGAGCCAGCCCGGTGTAGCTCAGCACGAGGCCCTGTGCCTGGGGCGGAGGCAGCCCCTGCCTGCCTGCCTGCCTGCACTTCTTGTGTCTATAGGTGGCAGCTGGGCTGATTTTCTTCTAGCAACAGATCACAAGGGCTCTGCCTCTTCTGTTTGTCCCCCTGTGAAATTGGTGCTTCCAAAGGAGGGATAATCCTGTACTAACATACCTATACTGGAATATTAAAGGACAGACAGCAGGAAAGCCTCCCGGGGTAGGTGCAGTTATTTAGCAGGAAGGAGATGTGGCTCTGAGTGCTGTGTTGCTGCACTCTGGTCATTGCTCAGCGCTCCTGGCTGAGTGAAGAGGAGGTTCCCCTCATCCTGCTGCTGAAGCTTTGCTTGGTGAAGGTTTCTGCTGATGCTGACTCGCTCTCCTCAAGGACTCCAGTGGAGTGGACTCTCCTTGGCCAGAGTGGTTTGCTGTGGAATTATGGGTTATGGGAGTAGGATCTGCACAGCCATGATATTCCTGCAGACAGCAGTGCTAGATAATGACTTGGAGGAAGCAACCTCTGAAGGGATTCTGTGACCCCTCTCTGCAAGCAAGAGAGCCTTGGGACTGACTGTGGTGCTCCCACTGGGTGGCTGAGTCTCTTTGCCTCCTAAAGCAGATTTTCAGGAGCACCTTGGAGCAGCTGGTTGGGAACAGAGCCTGGCAAGTCTTTGCTCAGATTCCAGCCTCCCTGTAAGTCATTCACCAGGGAAAGGGGGCTGCATTTCCACTGCTCTGCCGTGCTGGCAAAGTGAAGGGGAAGAGAGGAGTGAAAGGACCCTGCTGTGCAGCAGATCAGATGTTTGACACTTCAGCTGCAGAGTGGGTGAGGCATCTCTGCTCCTTCATGCAAAATCCACTGCTCCAGGGAGTGGGACCTGCTTTGTATGTCCTTGAGCAGCCATGGCAAGGAGTGTGTCCCTGTCCTCTCATCCCTGGCCAGGCTTGCTGGCAGATGGATCTCCTGTCCTGATCTGTGCTGTGATATATCCAACCCTGCTCCTGCCGTGGCAGGGTGAGGGAGAGGTGCTTGGGGAGGGGGGAATCTGCTGGGACAAACCTGCTTTCTGCTTTCCCTCCTTCCTCCCCTGCTTGTGAGGGTGTGCTTGCTTTTAGGACCTGCTCCTCCTCCTCCTCCTCCTCGTGCTCTGTGAGGATCTGGGATGCAACACCTGGGGAAGCAGCTGGGGAGAGCTGGAATGCCATCCTGCAGCTGGGAGCACCCAGCACTGCCTGCTGCATGTTCAGAGACCTCTCCCTGTGCATCCCTCCTGCTGTCCTGTCCCCTCAGAGCAGCCATGCCACCCTTGGAGGGGCTGGTGACACTCTGGGCACTTGACCTTTTGAAATCTGTCCCTGGCTCCATCTGCAGCCTCGTGGTGAGGGGAGGGATGTGTTTAACTGCTGCCATGGAGAAACATTCAACTCAAAGCAGCTTTGCCTGTGCTGGTGGTGTCCCCAGAGGAGCAGCCCTGTGTGGCTGGGCTTCAGGGGTGGCAGAGTCCCCAGTGGCACATAGACAGTCTCCTTGCTGTCCCTGCTCCTGCCCTGGCTGCCCTCGTCCATCTCTGGATTGTGTTGGCCCTGCCCTTTTAGACATAACTGGGACTTCACAGCAGTTTTGGGTGGTCTTTCTTGTTCTCTGTCTGCCTGCAAACTCCCAGCTGATGTTCTGCTCCAGGATCCCAGCTCCTCTTCCAGCCCAGCCATGGCAGGAGCTGGGCAGAGCAGAGAGGGGATGGCAGTGTGTTTCATAGTGTTTGAAATGTCTCCTGGAAATGCTGCTTGGCTTGCAGGGTCCCTTTTTTTGCTGTGGGATGGCTTTGAGGAGGCAGTGTAGTCTCATCTCTGCCCTGGCACCTCCTCAGTGTTGCAGCAGGCCCTTGGCACAGAGCTCCCTCACCCCAGCAATGCTTTGGTTGGAATTTGGGATGAGGGCTGGCTTTATAGGCTAGAAGCACTGCTGGAGGGAATGCTGGCAGGAATGTGGTCTCCACAGTTTCCTCCATGTGTTACTGGGGCTGGGCACGCTGGGCATCAGGAATGGCTGGGCAGAGGAGGTTCTGCCAGCCTGGAGTGACAAGGGCAGAGGGGCACTGCTGGCAGCAATACCCAGGCAGCTCCCAGCTCTCCTGCAGTGATCAGAGCACGATGTCCCTGCAGGGAGCAGGAAAGCCTGCCAGGCCAGGGCAGGAGGAGCAGCTTCCCTTTGGATCCGAGCCTGGCTGTGCCTCCCTGCGCCGTGGCTTTGCCTTGAGTGGCTGTCACTGGCTCGGTGTCCCTCTGTGTGCACCTCCCTCCTCCCCACATGGCCTGAGGGACCCCAGGGGATGCCCCCACGTCCCAGCTCCTGCAGCAGCATGTGTGATGCCCAGTGCCTTCTGCAGCAGCCTCCCCACCCTGCCCTGCTTCCCCAGCCCCAGCGTGTGGCCACGGCTTTGTCACCCTGGCGTGGGCTGTGCTGCCCTCTGAGCCCCAGCTGTGAGCAGGGAGGTGGCTGCAGCCAGGATTTTGGGATGGAACTGGCTTTTCTCTTTGCTCCCATGGCCTGTGTGGGCCTGTGACTAAAGGGGTCTGTCCCTGGATGCGCATCTCCTGAGGAAACACGATACATCCGGTCAGGTTTACATTCACAGTTCAGTTCTTTTGATAAAGCAGAATAAAATTATTTTGTTACCATTTTTTTGGGATGGTTTTATGTGTCCTTGGGCTGGTGGCACACAAAGTGGGGGGACCCCTCTACCTGTCCCCCTGCAGCAGCACTGCATGGTGTGGATGTCCTCAGCTGCAGTGGGTGCCACCCTGGGAGCCTGTGCTCAAAGCCAGGACAGCCAGGATGGTGCTGAGCATGAGGGGACTCCCTGCAGCATCCTGGGGCAGCCTGGCTCTGCCTGCCTGGCGAAACGTGCTGCAGTTTGGCCCCTGTGGCTCTGGCCCTGGAGTGGGGAGTTCAGCTCCACCCTTTCCCCATTCCATGATCCCCGCACAGCTCCCTGCCTGCTGCCACCCCGCTGTGCCCTCCTGCCCACACACACCCCGTGACACCTCTTCCTTCAGTCTTTATTGGTATAAAAGCCTTGAACCTAAATTATATCAAAAATGGGAGGCCTGGTTTTACAGCAAGTGGCTCAAAATGGTCACATGAGGGTCATAAATAAATGGCTGCAGTAAAACGGCTCCCAGGGAATTCCCTTTTGAACACTCAAGGAGTAACTCCAGAGATAAAGGCCCGGTGGGGAGGCCAAGCCCAGCTTGGACCTGGGTGACATTCCCCTGTGTGATGTCCCCACAGAGCCAGGGCAGGTCCCCACGGAGCCGTGCTCTTCCTGCTCCGTGATGCCAGGAGCTCCAGGACACATTCAGGACGTCGGGAGAGAAGGCAGCAGCTCCCAGGGCACAGGAGAGCCTGGGCCAGCGTGTGTTGGTCCTCCAAACCAGGAGCTGGCATTGTCCCCTCTCCTGGTTTCCTTGGGAAGCCCCGGCTGGCGGCTCCCCCTGAGGCTGCCGAGTCCATTAAGGCACAACTCGAGGATCTGTAAACACTGGTGCCCAGCCCGGGCACGGCCCGAGGCTCCGGCCGGCGATTCAAGTAAGGGTGGCAGCGAGACCATGGCTCCCCAGCGCTGCCACCCGCCAGCGGTGCCGCTCCTCGCAGCACCCTTGGTCACCTCCTGCCCGGGGGCGGCTTCAGGGCCACCTTGGGCGGGGGACACCGCTGAAAGGGGCTCGGTGGGAGGGTCGGTACCGGCGGCCCCTCGCCCTGGCTCGGCGCTTTGCCCTTCAGCGCTGGCAGAGGTTTGCTGGGCGGCTTCGGCTTCGCCTGGCGGGAGGAGAGACCCGACTGCCTCACCTGGGCAGGGACCCGGAGGGGCAGGGGGCGAGGAAGGGTCCCCAATCGCCTCCAAGCCGCCGCACAGAGGGACTGGGGCCATCGGGAGGGGAGGGGAGGTGAGTTTACCTGCGGGGGCCATTCCGGGAGGCACCGAGGCGGCCCCGGTGGCCGCGGGGCCAGCACGGGGCTGTGAGCCCGGGTGACCCGCGGGGCCGCCGTGCTGCTCAGCAGGCTGGGCTGGCCGATGTCCCCGCGGCTCAGCTGGCGGCGACCCGGCCGCGCCCGGCCGCCCTCCAGGAACAGCGGGTTGGCCAGGCCGGAGGGAGTCCCGCTGGAGCTCCTGCGGGGCACGGGCACCATGAGGGGCTGCTCGGGACACCCCTGGAGCTCAGCCCCGAGCACCGGGACGGGAATGAATTACCCTTTGTGCGAGCGCCGCGCCGCCCTGGCCCTCAGGAGCACCGCGCCGCCCGCCAGCCCGACCCCGGCCAGGGCCAGCACGGCCAGCCCGGCCGCCAGCACCGCTCCGCCGCTGCCTGCGGGGACCAAACCGGGCGCTGGTGAAGGAGCAGAACCCGGCAGCGGTACCAGCCCCCTCCCCAGGCCCCTCCTCGGCACCCACCTGCGGCTATGCCCGAAATCTCCTGCTCGCAGTAGGGCGCTGCCCAGCCCGGGTCGCAGTGACACTCGCGCCGGTGGTTGCACACCTGGGGAGGGGACAGAGCGGGTCAGCGCGGTGGCAGCACCACAGCGGCACCTCCGGGAGGGGCCATCCCAGCGCCTACCCCGTGGTTGTTGCACTTGGCCGAGCAGTTCTTGTCGCCGTAGACCAGCAGGTTCTGGCAGCGGCCGGCGTAGCAGACCTGGGGACAGGCAGGGGGGCTCTGAGGAGGCCGTCCCGGGGCCGGTGCTCACCCTGCCCGGCCCGGCACGGCCCCGCTCGGCTCTCACCATCTCCTCGCCGCACTTGGCGCCGGTGGGCACCAGCCGCAGCTCGGCCGCCTCGCCGGCGTCGCTGCCCGCGATCACCGCCTTGCACTTGAAGCGGCCGAAGTAGTAGCCGAAGGAGTAGTAGCCGGTGCCCAGGATGGGCTGGGTCTTGTCGCTCAGGCACAGCAGCGTGCCGCACTTGACATCCCTGCGGGGACACGGCCGTGAGCGCGGCCCGGCCGGGCTGGGGCTCCCCCGCACCCCCGTCTGGGGCATCCCCGCACCCCCGTCCTTACTTGGGGCTGCAGGGCTGCTTGCCGTACTCGGTCAGGCAGTGCAGGTGAACGTGCTGCTCGCTGTTGTGCTTGAAGCAGACGTCGGGAGCCACCTGCGCCTCTGCGGGACACACGGAAAATGTCATCCCGCTTTGGGATCCTGGGATGCAAGAAGGGACGGCAGCCGGGCGATGCGCTGGCCCGGGGGGATGCGGGCACAACCCGCAGCCGGTGGGGCAGGAGGATGGGCAGGGAAGGGAAGGGAGGGGGCCCTACCTGCGCCCCACAGAGCCCGGCACTGCTCGCCGTGCGAAGGACAGGCCCCGTTGTAGCAGTAGCCGCTGCCGTGCTGGCAGGAGATGCCGTTCTCCTGGAACACATCCTCGGGGCACTCGGCGCTCAGGCCGCTGCAGTGCTCGGCCAGGTCGCAGTCGTTCTTGCTGGCCCGGCAGAGCGTCCCTGCAGCCTTCACCTGCGCGGGGAGCAGCGGTGTCAGCGCTGCCTGGGTGCTCTCGCTTCTCCAGGCACCGCCCTGGGAAACGCTTCCCAGCACGTCCTGGATGCTGGCACTGCTACCGACTGATCCGCTCCTCCAGGGCTCGGACCGGCTCTGCCCCGCGTTAGGAGCCTGCGGAGCTGCTCCCTGTGCCCGCAGTACCTTGCAGTCCTGGCAGCATTCCCCGCGGGCACACTCGGCTCCCTCTCTCAGCTGGCACGTGGTGGCATTGCAGCAGCGGTCCGAGCACTCCTGCGGGACAGGGATGGGATGGAATTAAACCCTCCTGGAGGCCCCTGAAGGACCCTCTCCTTCCTTCCTTCCTTTGCCAGGGGACCAGGCTGCCGAGTCACCAGATGCCCATAGCAGGGTTAAACCATGGGCTAAAACCACAGCAACATCCCAGGTGGGGACGGACATTCCTGCTGCCTCTTTATCCCCTTTACCAACACCAAACCAAAGGGCCAGAAAGGACTTTTTCAAAAGATGGAGCCTGAGCTGGTTCCCTTTGCACAAGGAGAAAAAGTGAGGATTTCTGTGCTCCCTGGGGCAGGGAACATTCAGGGATTGATCCCAGAGGCATTGCCTGTCTGTCTGTCTTAATTCCAACGTGCTGGTAGGGGTGAGGAACAGCTGAGCACAACTCTTGAAAGTACGTCCCGATGTCCTCTCCTGGAGGGGGGACACCTTTGGAGGACATGGAGGGATGTCCATCTTTCCTAGGCTAAAATCACAGCCAGCCACACGAATCGGGGGCGCACACACGAACATCCTCTGCCGGTTATTTTTTGGCAGGAGCATCAGGAGCCGGACAGCTCTAAGGTCCCTGCTGGCCACCTCGGGAGG